GGAAGGCGAGAGCAATGGTGGTGGGTTTTGTGGCAGCAGCAATCGACATCTTGTGAGCGCCTCGCAATCGAATGTCGGGAATTGGCATGTGTGGTTGATCTGGTGGTGTCGGTGAAGGGAGTCTGAAGTGAGAGCTTGGGAACTCTGCGGGTGAAGCTAGGAAGCTGTTGATGGTTGATGATGGGTTCTTTGACGAGCTCGTGGGAGTTGTCTCCATAGCTTCTAACGTCACAGGATTTAGGGAATGAGGTCAGGGAAAGCTCACAGGTCTACCCGGTAGCCTGTTGTAGTTGCAGAATTATTCGGTTCTGGGGACGTGCAACGGAAAAATATTGAGCTGCTTATATAGTGACGGGGTGAAGTAAGCTTCAGGACGGCGAACTCAATTGATGGCCTAAGCAGGTTCCAACCAGTAGTGAGTTCCAATGGTGGGTAAGCTATAATGACAAAGCTCTGAAGGGGATTGCTGGTTCGTGAGCTATTGGTAAAGTTGATGATTGTGTATTTGGTGAATGGTTTGGACGAGGTAAGGAGAAAGAAGAAGGGAGAAGGAATGGGGCGGCGGGGGGTGGTCGGCGTTATGAATGATTTCAGGTCTCCAGGACAGGGTGGAAGAGTGCGTGTTTAAGCTTGCGTGTGTGGAGCGAGGCAGGACACAAGGACGTCGCCGCCGAACAAAGGGAAGGGGGGTGGGGGGAGAGTGACCTGAAATAGAATAGCACACCTTCTATTGCTTTGCTTCCCTTTCCAAGCGCTCATGCCGGCCATTTCTAGTGGAGGGGACAGAAAGGTAGCACCCATTAGGCATTAGTAAGTCACAAACACCGTATTCCTCTGAATGAGGTATGTGAATTTGTGATCCGGATCTCCATGAGAATCGCAACCCTTTGGTCGTTTATTCTTTTTCCCGCCCAACCATGACCGGTGGTGATCAAGCGATCTAAATTGGTTCGCCACATACGAGGTTAGAGTGAGAAGGGCGAAGAACGCCGAAAGCGATCGAAATAGAAGGCCTGCACGATATTTTTCTGTCTGGGCGAAGGAATGAGAGAGAGGCTGAAGACAGGCAACAACCATACATACGTACTCTACGATACACCTAGAGTAGGGTACCTCAAAGCATGTATGAATGAGCAGCTCTAGGCAACCGCGTACCACGGGTAAGAAGGCGATGGAAACTACAAGTGATACATTGTCCTGTGAGTTGTGAGTGAGAGTGTGGGTGCGATCTGTGAGCGGGCAGGAACCGGTATCAGGTTTGAACACTGTCCCAGCGAGCGAGCGACAGGAGCGCGTGAGATGGCAGCCGTAGATGATGAAGGGAGAGAGACTCGATAGCTCCGAGTCGAACAGGAACAGGGGGGTAGGAGTTACCGGGGAGGGGGGGGTGAGAGGGGGCGAGGAGGGGAGCAGGGGGGGGTGAGGGGTGGTAATGGGCACATTACCATACAGTTATTTGTACTCGTACTGGCTGCTGGAGCAAGCAAGTAAATGAAGCATTTCTTCCCACTTCCCCCCATTCATTCTTCCATTGACCCCATTTCCACACTCTCTCATGCTATCCCCCATCCCAACAGCGAGAGTGATGGCGATTGACAATAAATGTTTGAATCTTCGAACGCACAGCAGACAGAGCACACCGGAAAGTAAAACAGTTGATGGAGGGATCAGAGTTCGCGGCGGGTGACTAGCGAGCTACGCATCAGGATGACAGTCAATTGAGGCTGCCATATCCGTAACGGGACTAGCACGGGGCTTAGTCTGGACCCCTCGGGCACGCGAACAGAGTAATAAGACTAAGAGTCACTTGGAGAAGCCCCACTGGTCAGTGACAGGTGACTAACGAATCCAACTCTGCTGAAAAGGAACGTCCATTTTCAGGAATCTTGTTCGACGGATTTACATGGTTTCTCTGCAGGGCCGGTAACTACTTGCTGTATGAGCAATCGGCAAGGGACTGACTGGGTCCCAAGATTCACTTCCCCTTCAACCTACCATCCCCCCCCTCCATCCCTGCCATCTTTCCCCCCCCATTCATTCCCTCCTATTCACTCTTTACTCGAGTACCGTACTCTCACATCTTCGTCTTCACCCTTGATGGTTCTACTGTGCAAACACGTACTCTTACCTTTCCCTCACCCTCCCCACCTCCCAAGCACAGACGACCCCCATAGGGAAGGGTAAAACCTGCTGCAGTCGTAGCTTATGGAAATTGCGGGAGAATCAAGGCAGAATGGATCAGCAATAGCGGACAAGTCATAGCGGCAAGGCTGCCTCATGCGCAAAAACTCAATTGCAAATAAACCTCAATTGAAACGTCAGAAGCGAGCCAGCAATTGCTGTTCGGCGAGGAAAACTTTTTTTTTCCCCCTTTTCCCCACTCCCTCCCATCTCGCCTGAACAACTCGACAGTGGGAGAGGGGGGCTATGTGGCAGACAGAACACGCGCTGAGGATTGATGGTCTGAGGGGATTGAGAAGAGAGACAGAGACAGAGAGACAAAGAGAAAGGAGGGAGCGGGGTAACAGATAAGGCTTCCGACACAATCAGCCTTGAAATCCTCACTCAATTGCGGTTTTGTAGTGTTCGGCGTATCCAAACTACCAGGGCGCTGACAGATGGCAAGGGGATTCGGACGATTGTATCATAATCGCGCCGGAACGCGACTAAAAATCGTCACAAGGTTCTATAGGGTGAAAGGGAAAAAAATAAAATAATTAGAACACGGTGGTCAGGAAACAAGGCTATGACTTGAAACGCGGTGACGGCGGCGAGCGGCCAAAAGTTTTACAATACTCGAGTAGAGTGCTTCTCGGCGAGAACAAGGTTGGGAAGTGATGATTAGAGGGCCAAGTTAGACTACACGTACTCGTACGGTACTACTTTGTTTACCATAATACACCACGAAGAATAGATGAATAAAAAAAAAAATTTAAAAAATAAATAATCAGAAGGATTCCTATGAAGCTCACGGAGCTCAGATGGGGATGTCAGGGAGACCACCGAAAAAAGTAAAAAAAAACGACACCTCACAAAATCAAGACTTTTCGTCCGGACTCTGCGCCCATTCCTTACCAAAAATGTCACGCATGACCCTTCGTCTAAACATATCGTCATCGTCATCCATTCGGGTGTGCATTACACTTATTTTTTCTTCCTTCTACCGGTACTCTACTCCACTCGAGTACCATCTCTACTGCTGCCGTACTCTTTCTTTCGTAGAATGGCTTAATCCCGCTCACGGCGGACCTTAAAGCTCTCCGGGCCGGAGAAAGGAAAGGAAAAAATCATGGGATGGGGTTGAGGGGGTGGGGATATGGGTGGGTGTGGGTGTGCGCAAAATGAGGGTAGGATTCGGACTCGGAAGAACACATACCGGGACCATGATGGCAAAAAAATAATAATAAAAATAATACGGTATGGTAGAGAAAGACACAGTTCCTAATCAATTGGGTAGATCTAAGCCTTGGAAAGACACACCGGGACTGTCCGGAGCCGGAGAGAGTGAGGGTGAGGGTGAGGGTGAGAGATAGAAACTCGAGAGTTGCTGCGCACCACCACCGCTCTCTCTCCTCTTGTGCAAAATGGCAGGTGAGCCCCTTGGGTGGTGTGTACAGTGAAGCACAATAGCAGGTAGACTATAATACTGTATCATACTCGAGCACAGGAGAGCGTACGAGTGTAAGTGTCAACTGTGCGTTTGACGGTTGTCGTTGTGGTTGTCGTCGTCGCGGTCGTTACAGCACAGAAGAGGACAGGGAGCAAAAACGGCGACAACCACCACCCCCGATATGACGCGGCTCAACTCAAATCCCCAGATCGATCGGGAAATTACTCATTCGCATCATGTACGGTAGAGCAGCGGAATGGATTGCGCATGTATGCGAGTGATTGATCTATTGATTGACCGAGTGACTGACTGATTGATTGAATGGGAAGGGGAAGGGGGATAAAAAAATAAAATGCCATTAAATTTTGGTACCGTGCCACCAGTGGAGTGGGAAACGCAGAGTTGCATGGCATCTTCTTGCCGATTCCTTCACTCCGTGGCTGTGCATACATGAGCAGAGCAAGGAGAGAGGGAGAAGAGGGCGGAGGTGAAGGAGGAAGGAATCCGAACTTCACCCTGCAGGCGGGTGGATGCGACGTCGACCATCAGCCTCTCGTCTCTCTCTTTGCACATGAGCCCTGTCACCCTGCCCCCTACCCGCAAAGCCACATATTGACCTGGCCTTCGCGGAGGGGGGGAAGAGGTTGAGGGATAGGAAGGGAGCTGGGTACCGTATGCTGCATAAGAAAGGGATCATCCAGGTGGAGGAAAATAACTTAATGGATCAGAAAGACCAAGGAAAGAAGGGAGAAAGGGAAGAAAAAAGAAAGGAAAGGAAAAGAGGGAAGAAAAGAAAAAAGAGGAGTTCGTGTTAGCATGTGCCGCCTTCCATCCCTCACACAAGAGCTTATCCTCCTTCCACAACTTGACCTCTCCACACACAGAATAGTGTACGGTAATGACATCCACGATCTCTTTCAAAATTTGGCTCACGCCTCATTCGTCCATCAGAAGGTGAGGGCAGAGCAAAGCAGCAGCACAGCATCAGTAGAGCAGAAAAATAAAATAAAAACCACCCCCTGCATTTCTCGTCCAGAAACCAGAACCACAGAAATGCTTTCTTCCTTTTTCCGAAAAATCGCTGAATAGATCCCTTGCATGCTGCGGATGGACGGATCGGTGCATCACACGACTTGCCTGGGATGGGATCAAACGGAGACAGTTACGGTGCAGGGCGGTACGGTACTCGAGTAGGTACGGACTCTCTCTTTCTCTCTCTCCCTCTCTCCCTCCCTCTCCCGCTTCAAGTTCAGCTGGGAGAGCGAACGGGGTTATTTTCCAAGATCCTGCTTCACTTTTGGGTGCGGGTTTTTGGTTTGTTTCAGCTTTTCTCTCTTCCCTTTAGCATCGCCACCCTCCTTCCCCCTTTTTCTCCTGTGATTTCTCCACAATTCAATGCCATCCATACAATCGATTGAAACCACCTCATCCTCAAACACCCCATCCCGGCAACAATTGTATTGGCGATCTTGATTGTGTCTTGCGAATCACTGATTCTGTGAGTGGGTGTTGTGGGCTGGGGGAGTGTTGCGGGTGAATTGGTATATATAGATTTTTATATATAGTCAAGCTTTCAGCTACGGTGCTGGGGTAGGGTGCCATAGTTATGGCTACCGTGCTCTAATGTACTCGTACCGGTACTCGAGTAGTCCGCAACGATTAGTTTGACCTCTGTCGGACGCGGACCCAATGATGCTCTGGTTTATCAATCGGCGGATAGTCTATAGTAGCGAGTGTGGATAGACCGATACTGTAGCCCTACGGCACAATTGTATCACACTATACCCATACCACTGGTTTTTTATACTCTACTGAATTCCACTGTGCTGCATGCTATCATGCTTAGCCATAGGCCCAACCTTCAGAACTTCAGCTCACCGTCTTATGTACCGATAACCCGATTCGAGGAAGGAATGGAATTCACTATCACACGAGTGGAGGAATATTAATAAGCAAGCAGCAGACAGCCTTCCCTCCCTCCCGCCTCCACAGTCCAATCGAGTAATACGAACGAAACACCACCCCACAGGATGGCCAGCTAGCTGAATAAAGGGCCTCCCCGCCTCTAGGAACCCAATGCCGGTCGTTATCTTAAAGATATCTCATCTGTAAGAAACAGTTCAAGCCTCGACCTCCCCATCTCACTCCTGTAACAAGCCATCCACCCCTTCCAGTCCATCCTCGACCCGCTCCACCTCAATCGAGAAAGCGAGACACAGGAACCGGCACCGCTATGCGAGTACTTGTACCGTAGCGAAAGTATAATAGGATCAACGAAAAGAAATATTGGCGGGCCAGGAGGAACCGCCTCCCCCGGCCGCGAGCCCAACATGGGAGAGACTACGATGACCAAGAAAGAAAGGTTGCATTACGGCAGCAATGCCGAATAATTCCAGTGTAATGTGTAAATCCTATGCACTCCTGATATTTTAGCATAAAGCCGAGCTTCCTTGCTTTTTCCCCTCACACTCTCTCTGTCCTTCTGCCTTCCTTCCTTCCTTCCCCCCCCCCTCCTGCAAGCAGGATAGCACCGTAGCAAACTAATTACTCGAGTAGGGTGGTGCGGTGCTTTCGGGCTGCGCGATGACGAAGATTTAGGGGAGGGAAAGGATTCGCGCTGGGCGGGGATGCAACTATTGTGATCCGGGCCTGCTATTCCAGCCGTAACGTCGTAACCCTTCTGTCGACTCGATCCTCCTGACTACGGTGCCTACCGAGTGTGGAGTACATATCTTACATTACTCGTACGTACAGCGGACAGGACATGACAGGCATAGTAAGGTCTCATTGACGTGCTTGCCTCCTTCTCATATACCGGTACTCGAGTAGGGGAATAGGGGTGTTTCTTTCCCCCTCATACGATGGAGTAAAGGTTATTTTCCAGGTCTGAAGAGAGAGAAAGAGAGGGGGGGAAGGGAGAGGGAGTTCTTCAGCGGAATTGGCGAGTATCTGCGGTGCCGGCACCAGTATCGAGAGTACAAACCGGAATTCTGTCCAGCTGTTTCCTCTTCCTTCTTTGTTCGCTATTATTGAAATGTCTGGAGCAGATATTTGTCCACGCTACACACCAAAGTTCGATCCCCTGGGACTCAATTCCGATTTTCGACTTACTCGGTGTTGATAGACTTCCTCAACCAAGAAGGACCTTTCCCTTCCTCCTCCACCAACATCATCATCATCACCAACAGCAACAACGCCGAACCCGGAGAAGAAACAACTACGTAGTCCATGATAACTATCCATACCGGATAGCATCGTACGCTATTATGGCTCAGTTCCTTTTCACCTCAGGTTCCTGCCGAATTTACCGAATCGCACACCCCGACCCGAAAAGCGGAAAAAGAAAACAAAATAAAAAGGAAAAAAAACCATCCCATAATCCGAGACAATCACTCACATTCAGTCATTCCTCTTCACTAAAAAAGAAAGAAAGAGAAAAAAAAGCAACTCAGAAAAAAACCCACCAATAGCCACACCTCCGTCTCTACCCACCCCATCATCATCACCCATCATCCCGCCGACCCAAATCGCACATTTTCACCTTTTCGGCACGGTTTGTCCAAGTCAGTTCAGCAGGAGGAGAGGGGAAGAAAAAAAAAGGCCCAAAACAGCCTATGTACTCGGGTGTACTCGTAAGGGTATTTCGCGTCCGGTTACACAAGTCCTCATCCAGCGTGTATCTCGAGCAATCGCCACTTCTCCTTTCGGAAGTGCTCGATAATTTTTGCAAACACCAAAATATACTCACTGGTTATCACTCGACTTTCCCAACCTGGTTTAGTCTACAGCAAATGCCACCCCTCGCGATGGAGGTGGTCAATACTTCTGTCAACCCCCTATGATAGTACTCGAGTATAGCCCCTCACATCTAGGATTTGCAGAGGGGAACAAAGAGGAAAGGGAGTTTCCAACTTGTGACCAGTCTGTTGCAGTACCGGTACGGTACTCGAGTACCACAACCACATTTCCTTATCGATAAGAGATAAGGTGAAATAGAGGGGAAGCGGTGGGGGGGGAGTAGACTAGGCAAGGGAGAGTAACCATTCCATTGCACAAGAGCTCGTTAGTTTGAATAGTCAGTTGTCGGTAGTCAGACCAAACCCTTCTCGGCTTAGCCCCTCTCTCTGCACTACAATAGTACGAGTGCTTGTACAAGTAAAGTACTTCAAGAAGATCACCATCACGTGGCGCAAATCCACCCCTTACTCCCTTCCTTCCTTCCCCTTCTTTCCTTCGTTCGTTCGTTCGCCCGTTCGTCTGAAGTTTACTCCCGTAAGATACACTTTCTTCTCGCGCGCGTAGCACAGAACAGTAATCATACCATATCAATTCCATTTGATTCACTTGACCACCCATTGCCCAGCTGCCTCCTCCTCCGCACCATGATCACGACCGGGCAATCAGAAAAAGATAAAAATATTTAGGAGTAAAAATAAAAAATATGATAAGTTAGTCGCCTTATTATTATTATTATTATTCCCCCCCTCCCCCCCAAAAAAAAGGGAGGAAAAAGGAAGAAAGAAAAAAAAAAGAGGGGGGGTATCATTCAAGTGCGTAACTGCGTGACCATATTTGTGTTTTGAAAAATAGAATAAATGATAGGTGTGGAGGGTAGTGGTGGTGGTGGTGATACTTCTGGTAAGGTAAGGCAGTCGTCAGTCGGTCAGGCCGTCAGGCAGTCAGTCAGTACCGTACTTGTGTACTCGGTATCGTATCAAAGGTAGGTTAGGTACGGTAGTAGGCAGGGAGAAGGCTAAGCGGACCCATCGGAGGACCCTGATCTGACCCGGTACCTACGGTATGTGGGAGTACGGTACCGTGCTCCGGAGCAGCAGGCGGTGTGGTATGTAAAAGTGGTTGCCGGTATTGTTGTACAATATCCTACTTTTACCATAACTTTGTGTTAGAGAGAGGGAGGGGGAGGGGGAGGGGGGGAGGAGGGATGTCTAAAACGTGCAATATCATAAAAGCGTACCGTAGTACAAGTACAGTACGGTTGTGCAGCTTGTGCTGCTGCTGCTGCTGCGGTTGGTCCAAACTTAACTTAACCGCTGCCTTGAATATTGGATCCTCTCTAAAGATCTGAGATCCTCTTCCATGGGGACACACTAGCGCAGTGTACAAGGGCAGGTAAACGGGCGAAGAAGAGGCCTTAAAAAACAAAAAAAAAAAAGAGAGAGAGAGAGAGAGAAAGAAAGAGAGAAAGAAAGGAAAAAATGGATGGATGAATAAACGGAATTGAGGTTTTTTATTTTTATTTCTATTTTTTTAGGGGCTAGGTACTATTGTAATACGGTCATGGTGGGGGTTTATCGAGGGCCTTGAGGTTGCTTGCTTCGTGCGTTCTGTCCCACGATTCCGACAGTCATGTCTACAGGCCGTGATCCTCAAGAGCCGAAGCGGGCGGCGCCTTAAGGCTGGCGCATCTGGCAATATCCCCTGGGTACCTAGTCATGATTCTAATCTGTTTGGCTGTCCTGAACTTAACTTCACTTCGGTTGTGCATTACCAGAGTAGGAACAATTGACTGATCTCCCCGCCAAATGCAATTATGATTTGATGCTCACAGAATTGTGATTTACAACTGGCTGGCTGATGCACCTCTCCATTGCTTTCCTGCTTCCCCAGACACATGCCGGCCAAAAAAAAAAGAACCTCAATCGGCGAACAAAGCTACACACATACGCATCCTATGTGACCCCTCGAACACACACCAGTAATGAAATGTAGGGAAGCAGGAGAAGGTCCATATCAGGACGAAAAGAAGGATACAGAAAAAAATATGAGAAACCAAAGCCCAAAGCGAAACCCGTAATAAATCATATCGTAATCACCAGCATTTTTTTTCATTTCTCGCGCGAGATATACTGGTGTACCATGATGAGACCTAACAAAAAATTTGAAAAAGAAAATGCCCGATGACTTTTTTCCCACTTGCCTTTTTTTTTGAGCCAATAAACCCTGGGTAACCCGTCGGGGACGAAAGGAAGAAAAGAAAAACCGTACAAAGGAAAAGCAACTTTTAGAAAAAAATGGACAAAATTTGGTTCATTGAAAACAAACCCAAACCGTAACACCTATGCAATTTGATCCCGCGAAAACATAAGGCGCCCGTAAGAATTTTGACCAAGAGTTACGCGGCCTGGGCCTCTGGGCAAGATGCCATGACGTGTCCTGGTTGCTTGCATCTGTTGGTTGGGTCAATACGAGGATGATTAAACATCGAAGGGCCGGGGGGACGAACTTGTAGCAAACTCTGTCCTGTTCACTGGGACAATCACGGGACAGATGGCCAATCTGGCCACAGTTGTAGCACTTTTGTCCTTGAGTGCAGTCACGACTCAAGTGACCTGGGGAAAGGTTAGTAGTATTCAACGGCATACGCGCGATAGCATAACAAGGCTTTGGATAGTACCGTATCCACCGCAAGAGTAGCAAGTTTGTTGTCTTGCGCCACCACCCGGGGGGCCACCATAACCCGCGCCGCTGGCAGTACACTGACGGGCGATATGTCCTACCTTGCCACACTTGTAGCATTCGGCACCACCGCCGCTGCCGTAGCTACCACCACCGAAGGAACCAACTTGTTGGGGGGCATCGTTGCAATCACGAGACAAATGACCTAAGTCCAACTATACTTCAGCAAGAATTCCGACAAAAGAGTACTCATTGGGCTTCCACAAAATATGGAGTGAAAACCGACCGGTTTGGCCACAACGGTAGCAAGATTTCTCCTTGGCTGGGCCTGTGCAGTCACGACCTGGAACAAGAAACGTTAACCACAGCCAATATGTGGCCAAAAATAGGGGCAGAAATGATCAGGATTGAACATACTCATGTGGCCATCTTCTGGATTGCGCGAGATGAATTGTTAGCATGGTCTCCTCCAATTCGAAACCTAACTTATTTGGACGTGGAAAGAACATACGCCCACAGTTATAGCTAAGGATTGAAATGTCAGCTCACATTCAGGTAGCACACAGCCACCAGCATTGATATTTGGGTAGGCTAGGAATTAGGGAGTGGAGGGGAGGGGCTGAATGTTTACCAAACAGGAGTTCCACGTTTTGGGCACTCACGGGCCTTGGGAATTCATCATCAGTAATCTCGGTCTGCAGTTGGAACATCAGAAAAGCAGTTCACCTGGTGACCTCCCTCGCCGCCTATTTTTTTTTTCCAAAAAAGTCAGTATGAATCCAAGAGGATCGGGGTCATTATTGCGAAGTGGTGGGCGGGGCGGAGAAATTCGAATTAAACCGTGGAGGGGGGCAGAAATGAGTGAGAGATGTAAGGAATTGGTGAGGCTGTAAAGAGCCGCCAAGAGCAAAATGAAAATGAAACAAAGAGGAAACTGGGCGAGAGAAGGTAACAGCGGGGATGGTGGGGGGAACAGAGGGGGGAGTAAGATGCTAACAATTGTAACAGGCTCTAGCATTATTTCCGGAACCGAAATCCATTTTGGCTGTGGATGGTGAAGATTAGTAAAAATGTTTGTTGGTCGGAATATTCGGTAGCAATTGTCAAACTGAGCGTCCGAAGGATCTTCGGGGGGTGTTGGAGAAAGGATGGAAAGGAGTTGTTGAAGTTTTGAAGGTAGTGAGGGAGTGAGGAAGTGGGTGAGGGGGAGGTGAAGTTCTGGTGAGCAAACCTTGCCGTGAGGGTTGGAGGGCGAGAGAAAAGGAAAAGAAAAAAAAAAGGGCGTACATAGTAAGAGGGCGTTACCAACTTAACCCAACTAAGATTAGTTCCCCGCTTTTCCGCTAGCTAAGGACCCAGAAATTGATAAAAGATTCTGCCGAAAGAAGAGAGAGCAGTCCCGAAATGAGATCTCCACAAAGCACACTTAATTATGTGCGACCAAACCCTATCATATCTGAGAAAGAAAAAAAGGAAAAGAAATATCGTAGCTTCCGACCCCGCGAAACCTACTTGTATTGTGCTCTGCGGAACCCACAATACCTGCATGGGATTCTGCCTCTGGGACCAGCAGGGAATGCCCTGCCACATTGTGCTCAGAATGTAGTGGAGAGAAGGGCCCACAGATGCCGTACCGGTATTTGCGACAGCTTCCCAGATAAATTACTTCCACCAATGAATTTTGAGTGTGACTTCTCTACTCTACCAATATGTCTGCAGTGCTGGCGCTGTACTGTACTATATCTATATGTAATGCCCCTCCCGCTCCCGTTGGCAACAACGGTGTAACTTATTGCCTGGAAAAGAACAATTGCACTTGCCCTTTCATCCAATACCGGTATTGCTAGACGCCGCCTGGGTTAGGAAACTGGCGCTGCAGCGTGATCTTCCCCACATTTTAAACAAAGACGCGGTGAAGGCCTGGGTGCTTTCCCTGGTTTTCAAAGGACCATCATGTGCAGGAGTTGATGATTATTAGGTGCCCTGTGCAAAGCTTACAAGAAGGGCCACGGGTGATATTGGTTCCTATATCACATGTATAATAATATTATTATTTTACACCATTAAGGTGTTGCGAAATGTCACATTTTTTCTAGCCATCCTGTCCTCTATTCCAAGTCATCCTACGCTTCGCCTTCCTTTTCCCCGCCCTGGTCTTCTTTTCGATGCCCGGGGCCTCACTCGAGAAGGTATCGCCATCTGAACCCTGAGCGAGGATCGCCCGTCAATAATTGCACAGTATGTGAAACATAAATCATCTGCACCATGCCCACGTGCTTCCTACGTACATGCACGATAAGGCTTTCTTGTCATGGGTGGCGCATTACCACGGGTCAAAAATAGGCACACCTAACCCCCCGCTTCCATCCAGTAGAGATCCGTGGCATCTGCTCGACCCCATCAGGGCAAAAAGAAATGGTCCACACGCCTCCTCTGATGATACCCCGGCGTCTCCATTTCGTCCGATCTCATTATAATATCCCTTAGAGAGTAAAATCGTAAACAATCAGTGCACGTCTCCCTTCGTCTTGCTCCCTCAACACCACCACTTTTTCTTCATCAAATCCACCAAGCCATCCCACATCATCGACTCTCCAGTGGCTTCTTGCGCCGGTCTGCCGAGAAACTTGTGGCTCCACCTTGACGCTAGCATTCAACCTCCGACGTTCTGATACTCCACCTTCTAGTTCCCAAACACGAAGCTCGGAGCCTCTCTTAGAGAGAGAAACTGCTTTACCACGGCCACTCACTTGGGCAGTAGAGACCGAAGACGTATGACCCCACAAACGCTGCCCGGGCTCTATGGACAATGATGCAGCATTCGATTTTACCATGTAGAGAGTGAGGGTGTTATCGGCATGCGAGGCTAAGAGGTATCTAAGACACCAAGAGAAAGTTCCAGAAATTAGTCTCATTTTTCGGACGAATAGAAATCAGAAACAAAGGGGAGATGTGATATGTTCAGCTTTGGCGAGGATTCAGAAAGGACTCACGGATGGGTGTACGAGATAGACGAAGGCTGAGCCAGAGGTGTATCATTGTTTATATTTTGTTGTGATCTGGACCTGGACCCAATACCACCCCCTCCTTCCGTGGGCGGGGCTGGAGACCCCACGGGTGACGATCCTCCGGAAGTGGTTGTACCGAACGGAGTGAAACTGGTGGGCACTGCCGTTGCAATCCTTGACTCCACCACAGTATCCGCGTCATCCGTAAAGCGGAGTTCTTGGATCCCTACGGACCAACCTGAGATGTGAAGCGGGAATGCGTACGCAATACTAGCAATCATGGACTTTTGCGCTGATCGTCGTAGCGAGAGTGATAGGGGGGGCCAAACTGTATGTGACCGCAAAGATGAGAGGATTTTCGGTGCATGCATCATGCGGCCTTCTGGTATCGGTAAATCCTTGCTGAAATCCCTCTCAGTGCTGCTGCTGCCTCTGTCGGCTGATCCGCTGAACCGATAGACTGTGAGCAGCTGCGAGGATGACATTGTTAGCAGGTATGGTGAACAATAAGCCATAGAAGTGATCATCAGCCCTTGTGAACGGCTGTCTCCCGCAGAAGGAGCGGGCCCAGCGTAAGAATATTCAAAGGTCAGCTTTGGTAATGATCCAGTGGCTGTGTCCAGCTGATACAATCCAAAGCCCCCATTTTCAAATCCGACTGTGACATTCACGACCTGTTTAACATCGCTATCCTCATCGATGGCAAGTGCGGTGGGCACGCCGTATCTTTCGAATCCTAGAGAGCCTTGATAGAGATCCAGACCAATGTCTGGAACACCTCTGTGTTCCAGTCTCCAAATTCTCAGACCACTGGTGGGGTCGACTGTAAAGACCAATCCCTGGAGCATGACCATAAAGCGTTAATCTCGCTTTCGTTTGTAGCACTCAGGTGCGGAGTGACATACTTCATGAACCCTAATCATCAGTGGCGGTATCGGCGGTGGAAGCGGCGGATTTTCCGCGATAATGATTTGACTAACACTGCAGGATCCTCTATTCCAATTATGCCTTAACCTATACAACTCCTTCCACTTTGTTCCAGTAGCTCTTGCAAGTCCTTCATCTTGGAGCCATCGAGAATTCCGCGATGAATAATGTAAGCTTGAAGGGGGCGCGCGCGCAAGGCCCGGAATACGTGATGCTCTTGGGCGTACAAATCGAGCGTAAAATAGTGCTTTCCAAATCTGGTCATCGCGAGCAATTCGTTGAAACCGTTTCGAAACTCTCTGGCAGGAAGCGAGGTCGTTAATGTGTAAGAAGGACGCAATGCGTAGAAGAAGTTCGTCACTAAGTCGAGTGATGTGAGGTAAAGTATTTGGGCGGCGGCGTTTCGATGGCTGCCCTGGAGACTCGGGAGCTGGTCTTTTTAACATTGTATCAAATGAAGGAGAAAAAAAAGATACAAACGGTTTGCACCCAATTGCTTGGAAATGGCTGCAAAAGGTGGTAGGGTTTTTTTTGTGTTGGAGGTCTTTCGGGGCGTAGTTAGAGTGATGAGGTCAGTTGAGAAGGCCGAGCAGACTCGAGCACAGTACTCGAGCACGGTGCAGGTAGCTGCATGCTATCGATTGGAAAAGCTTATCGTGAGCTTGGTGAAGGTGGCGCACTTAGCCACATAAATAATCTCAGGTGAAGCTGACTCAGGCTTCTTCAGCCACAGCGGCTCGAAAGCTCCCCTTTCGGTCAATTTCGTTTTCCCCCGGGACACTTGAACGAGACCCCTCAACCCGACTTATAGTCTACCTACTCGTATATCCTTGGGTTCTTAGAATCAACTCTAATCCTTTACCGATACATCTGGCTTTGCCTTGAGCCGGTTGGTTGGCAGCCATGGACATTCTCGGCAGACACCGCATCGCGTTCAATAACCTAGGAGTGCAGCTTTTTGCGGATCTTGAGAGGGACCTAGCTCCCGTGTTAACAAAAGGTGAGTTTCAGTTGTTGCTGGTGATTGGGGTTAAGTCTGTTAAATATTTATCTTCAAATATAGGGTTGGGTGAGAAGGCAGATCTGGAGAGGGTAATTGCGGAGCAGAAGGAACTTTTGCAGGAGAGGCAAGCTTTGGTGTGTACCCCGAACTCGCGCACCCGTATCGCCTTAGCCATTCTCTGACGTTCTGAGTTTGTTAGGTTGATGCATATCAGAGCGCTAGCGAACAACAGCAGCAGAAAATCCGAGAACAGGAGAACCGGCTACAGAGTCTGGGCTATGGGATAGCCAAAACCGAAATTGAGAACGAAGCTCTGGTGGAAAGACTTGAAGAGATTGAAAAGGCTGATAGAGAGCGTCAGCGTAGAGCGTATGCCTGTTTCCTCTAGTGAAGATTCTCTTTTGCATTGATGTTAACCCATTAAAATAGGCTAGCTATCACCAAGGATAAATCCTTAGAAAACAAAGAAAATATACCACCTGTTTTTAATTATCTCGCACAAAACACCCCGAGTCGAACCCTCACACGGCCAGTATCCCCACCTCCAAAGCCTCTGAATAAGCCACGGATACCATCGAGCACTCCAGCAGGCGGAGCGACACGAACACTATTTTCTTACAAAGATGGTGAAGTTCAAACGGACCCTATTTACTCGTTGGACGATCTAAAGAAGGCGTATCAGGAACTTGCTTCTAGCTACAATGATATTCATTATGAGCTCGATCAGTACAAGGAGGCATACAGTCGTCTGGCCGAGAAATATGCGCAGAATAAGGCTGTTTGGAAACAGTGGTCTGAGCAAGAAAACACTCGATTGATTAATTCAAAGAAGAGAAGGCTAGAGGAAGGTACTACTGAACTGCGGGCTGTGGGGCGGAGGATTAACGGCTATACAACCCCAGCCACATCAATAACTGGGGGCTCACCTACTTCTAGAGCGCCAAATATATCCCCTATCAAACCACGGTTCCGACCATCTGTCGTTCATTCATCACCGAAAAATGGAGGACTATTTCACGAACTTCTAGAGTCTGGTGCTGGCATGGCAGGGGAGGTTAAAGGGTCCTTCGAGCTTGTTGGTGGGAAAGGTCTGGTAGGGGGTGGCCCGAAAGAGGGCTCAGTAGAGTTGCCTTCTTCGCCTCTCAGCAGTCCTCCCTCGTCTTTATCTACCCCCGAGACCCAGGTACCATCAAGAACCCTTGGAGCTACCCGGAATTCTAAATCGCGCGATGATGGCGACTCAACGGAGAGTGATGACGAGCCTAGGCCTAGCAATCGTTGTAACGACGCACTCGAGTCTGTTATACCTTCTCGGGATTCTGCTTTTAAAATCCCTGTGGTTAAGGAAGAGACAGGCGCCTGCGGTCGTGGCCGTATCAGTCAGGAAGGTGATAGTATGGCACGGCCTGTAGTCATCAAAAGTGAATCCCATACAAGTAGTGAGGGTCTTGGCTATCATATGTTTGATCAAGAGAGTCTTGATTTGGATGATATCGGACAAAAACCTCAAACACCCCGAAAACGCCAGAAGCCCCGCTATCCTGAGCTAGGAGCGTCGGAGAATATCGGCAGGCTCGGCTGGATTAGCGGGGGATTTAGAATCGCTCCCACCGGGGATACTGGGGAGGCACAGGATGCTGAAAATGATTTGCCAGTACCTATTTTTCCTCCTTCCGCAGTTGGTGAGGGAAAACCTGTGGGTATATGGCCAGACTCTCAGTTAGTGCGGCCAACGACCCCAGTGCAAACGGCCGGGGCCGGGCCTAGGAGCAGCTTTCCAATTTCTGCTGAAAACGAGGGTAGCAAAACACACCCACCTCTCAGACGATCTAGCCGAACGAGTGCTACTCGAAAGACCCTTTCACCAACTACCAAAGCGAAGAAGCTCAATGCCCACTCGCCACCAAAAGCGAAAAAGCGCCGCATGGCAACATCTAGAGCTATAGCTAGCCTCGCAGAAGATGGTACAGATGGATGCGAGGACATAAACACCTCTTCCATTCATCCACCGATGGTACTGTCGGAAAAGCAAAGGAAGCAGCTTGAAAGAGATATGAAAGGCACAACCCGGTTGGATGATATATTAAATTCGCCTGCATCCCGGACACCAAACTTGGCGCGTCTTAAGAAGAGTATACAATCTAGAACCTCTCCGGTCAGGAAACGGACTTGGGGCGGTGACGGATTCGGGGCACCCCAGGTTCGGCCCCCAAGTAGTGCTGGCCCGTCTACTTCTGCATGGCGTGCAGGAGGAAATATGAAATCAAAGGCGCGCGATATAAGTAGTACCTTGGATATTTCTGATTTCCGAGTCAACCCTGAAGTGAATGATGGCAAAGACTATGCATTCGCAGAAACGGTCAGGAATCGTGACGCAAGGAAATGCTTACCAGGATGCATGAAGACCTGTTGTAGGGATCTTGTTGGCTTCACGGAGGCTGCCGGACTGCCTGCTGTGAGCAAGGGCCCTAGGTGGAGATCCAGTTCGCCCGCCCCTGTTGACGGTTGTGATCTGCCTAGGAGGAACCCGAGAAAGGAGTCAGTGAGTAGGGAGGACAAAGCCAAGGAGTTTACAAATCGGTATGGAAGGCATCGAGATGCATTCGAGAGGCGTAGGAGCCCACCTGGTTTCTGGGATGCGGACTTTCCAACAACGCCAGAGCTGGAACAACAGCGGGTAGTGGCCGAAGAAATGAGAAGGAAGAAGGTAGAAGATATGAGGAAGGAGGCGGGGAAAGGCAACAAAGGCAGATATGTTTATAGGGATTAAGGTCATCGTTATTGTTTTCTTTCCCGCATAGTCTGCTGATATATTAGCTATGCAGCATTTATTTTGTGTCATTACCGGCTTTTTTTCAAGGAAGGTAATCTAGCTTTTTAATTGCAAAATACGGGGATCATAGGGACGTTTTTCGGGTGCGCATGTATTACAAATGCATCGTTTTTCTTATACACTTAAAGAGTTCTCGTGCAGCCAGTACCACTTTTTGTAATTGCCCTAGGAGTCTACCTTGTGCTATCCTGGGCTGGGATAATTTCTGTGATTTGGTAGGAAGTCCTACTTTTATGGCCTGGACGGCTCTCCTTGAGCAGGACAAATTGATAGCACGCTACTACAGGTTAAACAGGCCATTGGCTGATATGATACGAACCTTTCGGCCTGGGTATATATGCACGATTACCGCTCAAACCGCGCCCACTCTCGACCACGATACTCCAGCACCCACACACAGATGATCCAAAAAGTAACCGAGCGCTCCGTTGCTCCCCCGCCCCCAACGAGCCAACCCGTCGTTTACCCAAACAAAGGTGTGGAAGGTGCTGTAGTGCTTCGTGGCCGACGACGCTTGGGAAGGGCGGTCAAGCTAACGCCTATCGGGAGGGTGGAGGGGTTGGACTTCCCATACCCGGGGCAGATATCATATAACTTATCGGACACCGGAACAATGGGTGAAGCGGGACCTGGCAGATCTCACACTCTTGGTATTGGTATTGGTGGTGGATTTGGAGCCTTTGTCCCTGAACGCTTTGAAATCGCGGTGGGGATTGAGGGATTGATGGCGGTGCGGTGGCTGGCTTTTCGCTTTCTCCCGTGGATGTTTTCGAGTACTGTGCTTTGCGATGTGACAGGCGAAATATCTCAAGTGGGGAGGAGGAGGGGGGGGTACTTTCTGCCGACAATCTCTGGTGTTTTTGTGGGCCATTGACACCGGGCTTGAATACAGCTGCCACATGATACCGGGCTTTGGAATAGTCTCTGTTCGGCGCTGTGCCCTGGTTCCCGAGCCGTCTGGGCGTCTTCCTGCACTTGTTTCTTCCAGCATCGGGGTGTGGTTACTACGATACTACTACTGTTGGATGGATGTTGAAGAAGGAAGGAACTTCATTGTTTCTCTCAGGACGAGCCTGCTCTTTTAAGTACAAATGAGATCAGTGCGCCCTCCAGTTTACCCTCATCCTTCAGATCACAAACCCTCAATTCCCACATACACACCTTAGGTTGTTGCCCGTACACATCACCTCACAACTACTACTACTACTACGATACTACTACCAGTATGATACTGCGGACAACTCTTGGTCTCTTCATACTGTGCTTTGTCCGGCAACTTGCTTGCGCAAAAGATTAGTCTCTGAGCATCCTACCAAGGGATATATTCACGCTTTATTCTTCATTCGCGTTATGTGTACCGGGTTATGTTAAATGCCCATCATAACTAGACACCTTCAGCCCTCCTTTCCTTCCCCCCCCCAAAAAAAAAACCCCCCAACAAGACATAGGATATCACTCGAAACCCATCAGCAATTTTATAAGAGGTCGTGCGCCTTGAGTCGGACGGAGATTGCGGACAAAGTAATGTGGAGAGGTGTATGTGGAATGTTATGGATAGAAGGTAGAGGGGGAGAGAGAGCTGCTCTCTTGATTACTTGCTCGATGCATGTGCCTATTGCCTTCACGGTTATGCCAGCGAGCGGTGACTATATCCATCGACGTGACTTGCCATTTCCTCAATATTGATATGCAGCCAAGTATGATATGATGGATAGTACGGCAGGACTGCACACATCCGCACTTTCCACACAAGCAAAAGTCTATGAGGACGCGTAGTAGAAGTGACGTGGTTGGCCCTCCCGGATGGGATGGACAGGTTCCCTTAAATACATGAAATATCCCCCCCCTCAGAGGTGCCTGGTATTACATCTCCCTGACGCAACTTATGGCGGGATACATGGCGATATCCAACTCCCCGCCTAGCCTAGCCTACCACCTGCGGGATCCGATAAACCGAATCGAGAAATGCAGAAAAGCCTGAACCTTATTAAATTCCTCTCAAACCCCCCCCTCTGTGGGGTAAAAAACAAAAAGAAAGAAAGGCAAGGGGGGGGGGGTATCATACCCTGTAGGACACAGAATAAGCTTGAATGCGCTCGGTGTGCATGAAACGAAATGATCAAACTGTGATACATCCACCCACTCGTCAGAAGTGTTTCGTGAAGCGTCTCGCGCCTTAGAACTCCGGTTTACGGAGTCGGTCATGGCCTCCTGTGCTATTTGGGCTACTACACTGGACTCGAGGCTTATGCATGCCCTACCTACTACTGACATTGCTTTGGGAGATAATTGATGAGGGGTTTTTGAAAAGTTGGGAAAATCAATTCTTGATAAGTGGCTGTAGCTTTGGAAGCAAAAGGAGGTCATACAAGGCGTTATATTATACAATGATCCCTTTACTTTGTGGTCCTCATGTTCCTAATTGCTGATTGTTGACAATGCAACACCTACAACCGCCCGTCGTACAGCCCTATGGCGCAATAGCAATTAAGCAGGTCTCAGATCACGATCACTTCTGACAAGTGGTTGTATGATATCATATAATTGGTGAACCAGGACGGTAAATTATTAAAGCCAGACCAAACCGATTAAACTAAACCAAATGAGCTAAGCTCGACCTGCCCCCGTAACCGACCACGGATCCAGTGCTGCAGAGATTGAACGCAAGTATTATCCGTAGGCTTTCTCCGGGCAACAGACGGTCAGCAGGATCAATGAAAGCGGTTCTAGTGAGAGCACGGGTTCGGTTTGGACCTTTTTCGGGGTGGAGGTCTCGACAAAAGTCTCGTATGTGGCTGGGTCGTTGACGGTGGTTGCGGTTAATCCTCATCCACTTCATAGATCGCAACTATAAAACCGTCGGATTCTAGATCAAGACCACCTTTCAGAAGTGTGATCTCGTGGCCTTTTCGTTATGCTGCCTTGGTCTGTTAGCTTGTGAGTGAAAAAGCTTTTTCCAAGGGTCGAACCAAGCAGAAAACCCTCTCGTCTCGTATATCATAGCTCGTATAGTTTTCTCTAGGTGGCAACAGGATCGCTGGGACCACCCACGCGCTTTCGAGCGGCATCTCCCAAGTATAGCGAAATTGTGGCAGCAGCATGCTCTGAATCTTCCTCAAATTTGGTAAAATCGTTGGTGGCTTCGAGGTCACCAGGTGAAGGATATGGGGGTCTGAGCCTCCCTTCGCACACAACGCTCCAAAGGCCTTCTCTGGTGAGCAGCATTTCCATCTTTACCCTCCACGCATCCTAGTTTTTGCCCGTAAGAAGTGGCGGACGCGGCCGGTTAGCGTTGTTAACATTGGAACTGCCGGTGGGGGACATCGTTTGAAGAGGAACGAGGTGAAGAGAGGAAGGACAATAGATCAGAGAGGGGACAAGGTATAAGGGTAGACTCAAATCCGGGCTCACAGCCTGTCGTAAATAGAGGCAAATAGGAGACAAAAGTGTAGGGGACGTGTGGTAGAAGTGACTTGCTTGATTTTCTGAGTGGGATAAACGGGTCTTTTAAATGCACAAAACCTCCCTTAGAGACGTCATACTATGGCCTATAGACACCTCTCCGACGCAACTTGTGGTATCATAGGCTGGATGACGACATCCAACAGTTTTTCCCCTAGTCACAGCATGGTTGTACTAACGGGAGCTGTGTTAACTTTAATAGAGATTGAAGAAAGCGTCCGAACATACAGTACAACGCAGCCAGAGGCAGCCGAAACTATGTGATACTCTGCTAGCATGATTATTGCGCTTTTCTTGGTTCATCACTGGATCGGTCTGGTATGAAGGGGTCGAGGGGGTCCATAGGGCGGGGGATGTAGATAAGGTTGTACCCTAGTATGCATTCTAAAGATGCTGAGATATGGTGTAGGATAAGACTCTGCTGGATCATGTTTATATGGATGTGGTCACTCGCAACAAGATGATAGTTGCAGTGGCAAGTCCGCAAGAAAGATTATTATGGGAGGCCGATAGGTTTAACCCGTGTGCTATTGAGTTTTTGGTACAACTACCGCTATTAGCTCCTGTCGTAGGCGGTTATTTCCCAACATCAACACCGTGCTGTGCTCGTTATTTTTGGATGAACTCTCTATATAGGCCATCTTTCAAGTATGGTATTCAGCATGGGAAAAGTGAGTGATCTAGTCACGGCATAACCAATGCCTTAGTAGGTATGATACCTGATTTTGTGGAAATAGCCATAACCCACTCCTTCAGCCGGGTGGCTCACGTTCTGATTGCTTTAAAAATGGCCGAATAATGACAGTGGTAGAACGTTATCAATGATAACATACAATATGTGCATGTCACCGATATATTCGTGAAATTTTTGAATTCCTTGTTTGACCGTGCACAAGCTACTAAAGAATGCTTCTTGTCATTCTCACCAGAGCAGCCATCACCTGCCATAAGATAGGTACATATAGATAGATATGTTCGGGGGTGGTTGCCATTTCCCAGTCCTAATTGTGTTGTATTGTGGTGGGAAAGCTCCCATCCTCCGTAGCCAGTAGGCCCCGAACCGCTAGGCAAAATATGATATCGAAAAGCGCCGCCGGGCGTGGAGAGAAAAAAGGGAAACGTGGCGAAAAACCATAATACATCCCAAACACCCCCGCCGGATCCGTTCATCCAAACAAAAACAAAACCCCTCCTCGTATCTGTAACCTCCTAGGACGCCGTAGGCTTGGGGTCTTGATTGTTGTCTTTGTTCCCATTATTTTTCCCGGAATTCCGAACAACCACCACAACCGTAATGATAATCGCAATAACCACGACAATGCCAACGCCGATACCCAGACAGATCCACTTCTTCTTCCTCGCGCTGCGGGCGCTCTCAACCGCTTTGCCCATGTGGGCCGTTGCTTGTTCCATGTCCCGTTCGACTTTGGTGGTGTTCTCCTCGACCTGCATAACCTTTGGTTCATCCAGGACGACTTGTTCCGCCATTTGCTCGAAGAGGCCAAGGAGCTCTATTAGCGTTGTCTCGATACGTTGAATTTCGGCATGGCGTGCACGGACCGCCGCGTTGACCGAGTTGGCTTCGCGGCTGCGGCCGCTGGAGAGGAGCTAATGTGGCTTTGTTAGAAAAGGGTGTGGGGAAGGGGAGGGGGAAGAGTGGATTTACTGCTTGTGAAAAGACTTGGGTTTCTCCACTTTCTACCATACGTTCCACGTCCGCTTCCGTTGCATCAGGATTTACGATGCGGTATTGTCGGGCCATTTGGTCTCGGTATCTAGTCTTGAATGAATTCTCCGTCTATCCCACACGGTCCATCCATCCAGCATTAGCATTGGCCAACCAGTTAATCAAACCTCACCGCATGTAAAACATATATGGCCTACCTGCTGATACGCCCTCAACTCCTTATCAAAATCACCCTTCAGCTTATCAATCTGCTGCCTCTTTGTGTTCTGCGTGGAATATTCATCCATGATGAGAGCATCTCGCTCAAGGGACTTGATACTATCCCTCAGCTGCTTCGTCAGCACCGACGTCTCCGCGACTAGCGATTCCAACTGCTGCGTTGAGCCCGAGGTAGCGCCATTGTCGTAGGATTGTAGAGTCTGGTTGTGCAGTGCTCCGATGTCTAGCACGGCTTGTCGGAACGTCGTCAGGAGACCGCGGATGCCGGTGACTTCGTTCAGGAAGGAGTTCAATGGGAGGGCTTGGTGGCCTCCATATCCCTGGCCGCCGGGAGCCTGTCCGTGCGGTTCCGGATTTTGGAGCAATGGGGACTCCATTTCGTAGCCTTGGTACTGGAGTTTTTGTTAAACACTCGTTAGCCTTTTGGTCGTCATTAAGAGGGGGTGGTCATTTGTCGAGCCTACACTCATGGGTTATTTTTTGTTGCTAATCTTTTGTGAACTGCTCCAAGGGATTCGCACGGAGAAGGTTGCAACAAGGCAGAGGAAAGAAGGAGAAGAAAAAAGCGGCACCCACTGGTTCCTCCGGTACTTATGTCTCTGTGGCTGCGGCTGAGGGAATAGCTGAGTTGGGATTCGGCAGAGGGATAAGCACAAGCTGACAAAAGAGGCTTGGACATGGGAGGCTTATTGGAGGGCGACAAGTAGGACAGACTGTGTTTCCCTCCCTCCTCCCCGCCCACTTTGTTGGAGAAATAGCTATCCCTGTTCACAGGGTTTCCCACCTCTGCATACAGAGGTGGGCTTCGTTAGAGTGTTGTGCTGGTGTCGTACCGGTCGGTATAGTATCTCGAGTACCGCACAGCGGAGTATTCGTACCGCAGTCTGGTAAATTAGGGTGGGGGAGGGGCTCTCTACCAATATACGAGTAGACTATCATACAAAGCGAGAGGTAGCTCGATACCTCAGGCGGCAGTAGTCTACTGATAACCTGCACAGATGGGGATTCTCAATAATTCACTATTGTTTTTGTGCTTTGGGGTTATACGAGTCTATCGGTAGGCCCAAGAACTCGCAGACATTCGGCCCGATCAATGGATTAATACACAAACTCGAGCCTATATCAAATTCTTCGATCAAGAGCATTATCGCCCCAGTCTACCAGTAGTCTATGCCTGCTCGTGCAGTTCCATATTCCCTCCCCCTCCCCCTTCAAACTGGAAAAGGTTTCGATTGCAGGGGCGGTGTTTACAATACCGGTAGTACCGGTTCACCATCGCATAGCCACTAGTACAAACTCGGACCCCGCCCACACCAGGACACACACACCACCACGACGAAAACATCTCTTCAGTACCGGAACCGGTAAAGCAGATTAAATTTACGGGTTGGATGGGAAGAAATTGAAAAGATGGAAGGCAGCCTTGAGCAAGACTTGATTCCTTTGATTTTTAACATTTCCAAATATCACTTTTCATTGTCTTTGCCTATCATATCATACCAAAAAGTGGGCGTAGGTCTTAGGCCACCAAGGTAGTTTTTATCACTATGAGTATCATAATAATATTATGATATTGGCGCAACTACTCGAGTACTGTACGAGTACTCGTACTGTACACACACTCCAAAATTTAGGACAAAAAGCAAGAAAAACATTCCTAAATTGGGCACCATGCCAAAAATGTTTCGACCCCTAAGATAATCGCAACATCTACTCGTGCCCGAATAATAATCGAGCCAAAAACGCAGAACTGTCAAAAGGGAAACACCTGAATCATTTATTGTAGTTCCTTTTCATGCATTTCCGTGCCATTTTATAATGTTGTGGAGCCAAGGTCATAGTGTGGGCAAGGTGTATTTTTGTATTGATGACATGCGACGATAATCAACATGAACCCCTGAATCCATAGTCTAGCACTCACTCTCAACATCCCCTCACTCTTCCCTTCAAACGCCTTCTAAGGCTATGATAACTCTAATCGCCCATTTTGCTGGGCGGTGGGAGAGGGATTCAGGTTAGTGTTAGTTCTCTCCGTTAACAGAGCTCATCGCTGCAAGTCACTGTAAATCACCTTGCCTCACTCGTAACTGCAGTACCGGTATCTTAGCCTAATAATATCATAACTAAGGGTCGCGCGGCTCGAAAAACCCGGGCACTCGAGTCAAAATCGATTGTAGGCACTCAGCTATGCCTCTATCGATGCTTTCCCGAGCAAATACCGGTATCATTTGAAACGTCTGGGGTATGACTGTGGGTGGGGATTTCAGGCAACCACCCGATAGTACTGTACTGTACTCGAGTAATGCCCAGCGCAAGTACCGCTACCGCGCTGAGAGTCCTGTACTTGTAAAATCTTTTGGGATCTATCGCCTCCGCTCTGGGCAAGCACTAGCTTGGGAAGGGATGTTGGCTGCTAAATGCGGTATCGTCGGGTCTGTCAAATCACGTTAACCGGTGTGAGGCTGTTCTTAACCTCATAAGCTATACCGTAAAAGCTGGAATAATCGGCCCTCGCGCTGGTCGTCCAGAATTCCCTCCTTTGGATTAGGGGGAGAAAAGCACAGGGAGGAGACGGTCTGAGCAGAGCACTGAAAAACGGAAAAAGAATCTTACGCCGCGCCATACCAGGAGAGGCAACTCCAATGACTAGCGTGAGGGCCAATTATTCTAGTTTTTACGGTATATGTACGAGTATATACTCTACTCGGGAGTAGGAAAAAGTAGATTTCCTTTGGTTTTAACCCTTTAGCGGGGACCTGAAAAACGTACTTTTCAAGTTACTGATATTGCTTTTTAATATCAAAATGCCATGTCTATCGACTCAGTATCATACTCTACATTGAAGAAACGCATTGTTTCGGATTCTTGGCTCGAAAAACTACCCACCCCACTCGGCCTCCAATACCGTACCCAATCGGGAGATTTTGCTCCTTGGCATACCGAACGAGCTCATCCTTCACATATGTGAAAGCTTCTACCCACCGCACGCCTATTCTCTAATGCAGGCCAATCGCCGCCCTGCAACCCCCCCCGGAATCAACCCTTATCGACAGCCTTTTCATCCCATGTTCCAGGGCCGATATCGCTCTCCCAGTATGCTACCGGTATGGAGCGGAGCTAGGAGCCACGGAACTTATCATACGCCCCTATCCCTTGCTGCCGCGAGGGTCTATAAAGGGGGTGACGAAGGCCATGACGAGGGTGATATTCTTTGGATCTTTCTTGACGACGCTGGGGTTGAGCCCGCGGGGATAGACATTGGTGGACTGCCCACCCTGTGTACCGGTACTCGACGTTTCCTAAAGCCTCAGGAACGTGAGTTACGTGTTGGTGCCTAAGTTATGACAGTCCCCATGAGACATAGCGCACTAGAGCCATCAATTATACCATAAGTTAGGTGGATCATTTATTCATTTCCCATTCCGGAGACTTTTGAAAGAAGGTCGAGTATCAATACATTCTATATAGAAGATACATACGACTTGGTGATGGCAGATTTTGCTCAGAACGGGAGGGCCCACCAACGCCCCCGATAGGTTGTTTGGCTTTGATTCATGCTCCTGCCTTGTACGGACAGAAACGAGTTTCTAGAGGTCCGACACGGGGATGGAAGGGTTGATCCTGATATGCTGGATCACAGCGGAACGACACCGATTCAAATGACAGTGTGTAGAAATACCGATGGGAGACGAAAGGGTCCAATTCGAGCTGAACGTGACATTCGAGATTGGCATTGTGAGTCCAAATCCACCTCTAATTTAACTAAACCCTCGTTCTCCTAACTCGGAGGCCCAGCCATATGGTCCCAAGGCTCGCTAGCGAGCTTACCCTATTGAGGCTAGTGTGCTGAGACTAGTAGATGAAAGTTGTAATACGGTATTTTTGGGGATAGCTTTCCCCTTTTTTGTCCATGGACTAGCACTCCCCATGTTGCAAAAATTGGAAGGAAAGGGAATACAGTAGGAGAGGATGGACTTGCGGGCTTGTTTTAATTATCGGGGGAGGGGGGGGGGGTACAGTCATTCTACCACTACTATTTTATACACAGTCAACCCGCAGAATGACAAACAATGTTTTGGTGCTCCTGAGCTGGAAGCCGCAGGTGATATAAGCCGACGGCCATCGCGCATTCGGTCCGTACACCTACTACTCTTATTTAGACATCCAATCAGAAATGATATCTTCCAATTTTCCAATCCCATTCATTCTGCGAGAACGGTGGGGCTAATTGAATGGCACAACACATCTCAAACCCCGTGCTGCCAATCGTGAATGGGATACTGTCTCGGTCTGTGTACCACCAATATAAAACCCATACAGGAAGCTCACCGGCCCCCTCTATTTGGTAGAATAGTGCTGCGCTTGAAATACTAATAACCCCCCCCCCCGTTTTCTATTTTTATTTTTACAAAACCACTAATCCTTTCATCACGTATTGAAAAAGTGAAAGCTTAATTCCCTCACTACAACTGGCAGACTAGCTTTGTCTATAAAATCTAAATCCCAACAACCGCCAAAGCTTTTAGAAAAGCTGGGAGCTTAATTATTCGTCATATACAGGTTAAGTTGGGCAAGGGATAAGTTTGCCGCTGCTCTCGTCCGAGACCCCACTCCCGAATTCCGCGGGGTCGGGCACAGTAACATGACCCAGGGGCACATCGTACATCCTAACCGTCCGTCAAGAAGTCGATGGATATGACGCCCCAGGGGTTGTTTCCCTGCTTAATATACTTGCCATACCACGAAATCGAGGGGGCTAGCTTTAATTCCCACAAAGCCTTGGATTAAGCCACTGCATCCAGTTCCGAGTACGCCCCGGAACACGCAGAATAACCCCCTGCAATTCGAATTCCCCTCCAAAAGCCTATATCCCTTTGCTAGCAAATAAGCTCCCCCCCCCTCCTCAGGCCAAAACCGACACTATCATCACTTGAGATCACTTGATATGATCTTAGATGACGATCCGGACAGCCCCAAAGCAGCATCTTGAATCCATAAACAGACTCTTGGAGCCAGGTTTGGCTCCGTGACCAGACATTCAGTATGCCCTCGGAAGACATCTTCTCACCAAGTAGAAGAACCTCACAAACCCCATAAAGGGCAGATTTTCACACACCAAACCAACTTAAGATAGCTAAAGCCGACATGATGCCTCAGACTCAGACACCAGCAAGATCCCACAAACTCCAATACCGGCACAAAGCTAACAATCGCATATTTTTCACCAAGTTAGGCACCCCCACAAAACACATAAAACTTATATTATTATTTTTACACCAAGGCTGGGCATATTTATGCCGAGTTATGTTAGTAAGGGGTACTGGGGTTACCTCATGGGCATTAGGGTTGGAGAGCACAGTGGGCGTCACGGCTTGGCATTCATGTATTCACTTAGGTAGCAACGTTCGTAGCTAGGAAATACATCAAGTTCCCATCCTCTCTCTCCCACGCACGCACACCGGTGCTTACAAGTTAAATACCAAAACCCAAGCAAAGTTGTATTAATACATATTTTTACACAAAGCTGTCATAGAATGTTTTCACCAAGTTAGGCATCACGCAAATCCCATAAAGCTTATATTATTATTTTTACACTAAGCCTGGCATATTTATGCCCAATTTTCATTGAGGCTCACCCTGCTGCTTGTTAGCATACTGTACTGTGAAATATACTACACCGTCATAAAGCCACTCACCGAAGAATTTGACACCTCATACTACCGGTAAGGATACGGGTGTCTTCGGATCTTTTCGAGAGATCCAGGATGCGAATTCTTCCCCTGATGCCAGGCAAAATATTGGCCCTGGCACACTCCTCCGAAATATTGTTTAAGAATGCTACCCATGTTGAATTAGGGGTAATGTCTTCTAGCTTTGTAATACATCTTTCGATACCCTCTTCCTTTATGTGGCCGGGCCTGGCTGAAAGTTCGAAGATAGGTGTCTTGGTGTTCGATTTTTGGTGGGTGATAGCAAGGAAGCGGTGGTTTCGCGCATCATGAATTCCGATAATTTTGACACCCAGGACACTCCCCTTCCCGAATGATGCGAGGGGAGACTTCTTGTCCTTAATAGCGTCCCAAGTTTCAAAAACCAGTGATACGTCAATTCTGCCCTGCACGTTGTCGGCGAGTTTCACATTTAGCTGCGTCTCTTGTACAGAAACGACCTTTGCTTTAGTGAGTCTCCCGGAAGTGTAGTCGTCGATATGTTTGAACCTCGCGTCAACAGGGTTAACAGTGAGCCTCTCTGTATCGCCAGCTGTGTTAGCTACGGCCGGGGCCTCCCCCTCTCCTGATTTTACGGAATTTAGCGATAATCGGAATCGCCGTTCTGATGGGTCTATGTATACCACTCTACAGGTGATGGACTGATTCTTGACGTATCCAAAATTCGGGAGAGACTGGACTTCTGCCGGACGGTCCTTTTTGTAAACCACCCCAACTATCCCACCAGCAAACCCAACAAAGAGGCTTTGAAGAGTCGTGTTCCTAACCCAGCCTCTCACTATTTCTCCCTCGTTCACATCCTCAAATTTGCTGATCATACTTCCGCCTTTTGCTGCCTTGACTAAGCTTGGCTTCATGCTCAAGGTAATCGACCTCCTCTCCTCATGCTTCTCTAAAACTAAGAGGTCGTCAAGCTTTTGTCCAGCCCTGAGCTTCTTGAAAACACCTAAGCTCTTGTCACGGCTGCCATCGGTTAGTTGCCCAGTCACTAACACACCTCTGATGCCTTCAGCCCCTAAACCATTTATCTCAACAATGAGATCATCCGCTGACTTTTCGACCACGGTCCCAGAGACAACATCACCAGGAGGCAGTTTGGCAAGAGTCACTTTATGGGCCTCGCCAAATAAGTTTGGATCTTTGCAGGAAACTCGTAGCTTTTGGCTTGCGGGATCCACTGATAGTACATGGACATTCACGGATTGGCCAACCGTGGAGTGCTCATGGGGATCCTGGATATATGCTTCCCTCATTTCGGAAACGGGGAGGAAGCCGCAGACATCTAAAAAGAACTTGACTATAGCGCCGTTTGGTAGGATTTTAACCAAGGTACCAACTGAGCGAGTTCCGGAATTTGTATCCTTGTACGATGATATTATTGGGGCGTCAGAGTTGACAATAGCTTTTTTTAAGATCAATCTCACTTTCCTCTTTGGAGGATCTGTTAACAAAACCTGTTCATCAATCAGTATCGCTAGAAATTGAGCCGGGATTGCCGAAAAAAGTTACCCTTGCTTTTACTTCGACACCCTCCCTAAACTTCTTTTCAGGATGCTTGAGTTTGACATCGCTTAGGTGAAGTTCATCTACTATTCCGGTGATCCCTTCAGCTAAGTTTACGATAACGCGTCCACTATGTAGGACCCGGTCGATAGTTCCCTTCACGACTTCACCGATTTTGATATCCTTCACCCTTAAAAAGGATTGATCGAGAACCTTCTGCTCCATGCTAACAAGATAGAGGCCGTCCATAGAGTTATAACCAATTATTCTAACCATATGGACTGAATCAGTCTGATATAGACCAGAATCGTTGGATAGAGCTTCTATTTTGCTATCGCTTGAGATCCGGGATATATGGACAAAGCCAGGAACACCAGGAACACCGACATCAAGAAAGAGGCCGATTTTAGGCTCGATATTAAGGGCCTTCGCAGTATTGATAATGGTGGCTATTGGGAGGATGGTTGTAGGCTCATTCTCAATTGGCTGAGTAAACGGAAGGACATGAGGAAGGATTGAAAGAGCGAGTTTACGAGGCTCGGAATAGGTAGCAATGACATGCGCTTTAATCTAAAGATCAGAGAGGCTATATAGAGGGGAGGTGTGCTTCGGGTTAACCTTTTCTCCAACCTTAAACTTCGATTCAATATCCTTTTCCTCCCAACCAGAAGCATGAAAGAAGTCCATTTTAGCATCTACAAGTCCCATAACTTTGCCTGCGACCCCAATAGCTTTACCCCCCTTTGCTATATCAGTAATGAGTACCTCTACGCCAGTTACAGGTAAAAATGTATTAACCATAGGCGCAGAACTCAGCCACCAGGCTGCCTTCCCACCTGAGTATTTCCCCCTCTTACTTGGTTTCTGTTCTAGACCCCCTGAGAGCTTGACGATTTTACCATTCGACGAGAGCCCGATGGTTGTGCAAAGCATCACTTGGCCTTCTTTTGCATCTGTCACCGAACGGCCCTTCCCAAGCTCCTTGGATGACAGAAACCCTTTGAGATGATTCCCGATGCCCAAATTCATAACGAGACCGTGGTCCTCCACGCTTGTGACAGAGGCCTGAACAGTACACCCAACGACTAACTCAGTAGTCGTAAGGCCGTTATTGGTCAAAACTGGATCCAAGGACAGCTCGATCCGCTTTTTAAACCTCTTGGAGCCTGTAGAATATTTCGAATTGGTAGGTTCTGAAGAAGATACAACGTATGCTCGGAGATATGGTCCGATTTGGAACATAGACTTGAGATCAACACCATCCTCACTAGATTCCGATTTTGCCGTTTCAATATTTTCCTCTACATCCTCATCCTCGTCGTCATCGCTATCCCGGACCAGAGCCTCAAAATTCTTGTTCAACAATTCTGAAATAGAAGTAAGAGGGACAAATCCAGTCAGATTATTTGGTAAAGAAAGGGCGAGGTCGGTTTGACTTATTTGAGAGACGCATCCAAGCACAAGTGTTCCCGGTAGTAGTCTCTATGAACTGATTAACATTCTGTGGTCATTACCCCGGATACGAAAAGACAAACCTTATAGCTCAATCCTTCCGCTTTAATTCCCTTTTGCTCACCTTTCTTGGACTCGTCTTTTTTACTCGTTTTATCCTTCTTCGGTTCTTCTCTCCTCGACTTCTTCTTGGTCCATTTGGCCTTCGCATTTTCGGTTTCGAAAAGGGCATCTTTAGCAGCGTCAATGGATATTTGTTTGAACTCCAACGGAGTAAGAACAGAGCCACCGCCTCTTGAAAAAGATTTTTCTTCGTCCTTTGAGGAACGGAATGTTGACAGCTTTGCTGGCTCAGGTTTTGAGGCAGCTGCCGACGCCTCGGGCTTTAGCCTCTTATTTGCGGTTGCAGGTAATTTTTTTGTTTGGCTCTTGTTCGCCGGGCCCGGATCCGCGTCTTGAGAGCGTTTTCGTTTCAAGTCAGAACCCATTTTATGTGTTGATAGTATGGTGGGTCTGTTCGGAGGTCAGAGGTGGTGGGGAGAAATCTTTTTTTTTTTTCGTAACCGGACCCAAACTTCTCGATTAATCGTCTTGGCGTGAAATCTTGGCCAAATAACGGTAACCGAGCCTCAGTTCTCGAAAGTCTCAACAATCAGCTGTCTTCCGCTTGAGACATTGACAAACCGCTGCTTCACATAGATTTCTTATATAATGGTTGAGCCTGGTTCTTCCCTTAAGGTAGAGTCGAATGCCCCTTCTGTGATGATGTTAATAGATCCGTAGATACAGTGACCAACATAAAGAAAGAATATTTCTGTCTTGTAACGAGAACGAAATTAGGTGCTATTAATAAATCTATATCTACAGTCGCACCTCGTTATAAAGAACGCCAAGAGTTGGGGGGGTTTTGTTCGTTATAACGAGGTTTTGCAGTGAATTCCTTATAGCGAGTACTGTTTGTATGGGAGCAGGGGTCTTGATTCCCGTACAATTCATTCGTAATAGCGAGGTTTCTCATACAAAGAGGTCCATTATAGCGAGGTGCGACTGTATGAAGGAAATTCTTAAGTTATGCGACACGAAAAGGTGCTCTATCCGAGTCATAACCTACTTGTGATTGGCAAAGTTTGTTTACGACGCTTCTACAGAAACAAGAATTGCAAATAAAGATGTCTAATTAGCACAGCATTATGGAAATGGAGTGAACGGGATCTCGGAAGTAGGAGGTAAAGCGGTATAGTTCTAATTCTCGTGCTTAAATTATCACTCTCAACAGGAGAAACACATGACTGATACAAGAAATCCGACCACCATCTCCCGCTTGCCACAGATGTCCATCCTTCAGAGAATTCCAAACTAAAGCCGGGGGAAACAACTTAAAGAACATTCTCCGAAACCCCCGGAGATAAAAGAAACACATAGCACATTCTTCCGCTCAACAGAGCTCTCCATCTTGCCCTGGCGTGTTCCACCATACTCTCCTCGATACTCCGGCATACCGCAAATGTTTTTAGAAAGTTGTCGGCACAAGTTCAGTATAGGAGCCTGGTTAAAAAAGGGCAATTTTTCTTACTTTCTTGGTTTACCGTATTTTCTCGTCAGACTGACTACCTCCAGGCAGGGCCCCGACCTGGAGACTGGGACTGTAGCCCCCTTCGCGGAGAGATCGGAACCCTGTGGGGAGATAGCCAAGCCAATCCGACGAGAAAATAGGTAAACCACTAAACTAAGACTTTGGTTAAATCTAAACACCCATCCACCCGCCCATAAACGCCTTTCCACCCACCCATAAAAAAACCCTCCCACCCGCCCCTAAAAATATTTATCTCCGCCCCTGGGAGTGTTTATCTCAACCACGGTCAGCATATACCGTATTTACTCGTATAATCCACTATCTCCGCCAGGTGTCCAATCTCCGTGTGCACAGACAAAAACCCCTAAGAAGGATTAGTGTTTTCCTTACACGGCAAAGCCTGAGGGCGCTGACTGTGTTGGATCTTATTAACTGGTATTCGCAATTTTGTTAACCTACCAAACTAAACCCATTGTGGGCACAGGCAGGGATTGGCGGAGATAGCCTTGCATATGGAGATAGTGGATTATACGAGTAAATACGGTATCCCTTAGAGAGGTGAAACAATGAAATTCGGTGCAGCCACAAAATTGCGCAATAGAAGTTTCTAAGTCAGGAGCTTAATAATCAGTTAGCAACATCAGCTGAGTGTAAACTAAGGTGAAAATTTTACTTAGACATGTTCAACAAGCAGCAAAAGATACCACAGTTGCGAAACAAAAAAGGTATAGGAAATGTCATCCTTAAAGGAAGGTTAATGGCTAATAAAAAGCGCAAAGTAGTGGAACCACAGCTGGGAAATATGGCTCGGCTAAGGTGAACAGCAGTTTCCAAGCATTGCACAAGATCACAGACTCGACTACCCCATCTACCAAATACAGAAAACAGCTTTCCAGAAGTGGGGGAGAGTAGTACAAGAAGGATAGGCGAGGAGAATGATGATATGGAGAACCTGCAGGAGAGAAGTAGAGTACAATGGAAAAGAGGAAGGAGGGCTAGTTGGGTAAAAAGGCTGGCAGAGGGAGGCGATCAAGACGAAAACAACAAAGACAATGATGAGGAGGGAGAACGCAAGACAGGGCCTAGCAACTTTAAGGCTAAAGCAGCCTTCCACTACCGGTAGTAGCGAAAACAACCCTGCGGTTGAGAAGATCAAATAGCTTCCAGCTCCACCACTACATATTCCCTTTCAGGGACTATTTCCACTATATAAAGCTTGAGCAATCGGTTTAGCGGCTGGCTGTGTGGACTCTTACAAGCTATTCTCTTTGTTTTTTTCCCATAAGCAGGTCAGCCTTCTTACAAAGCATACTAATTTGTATGCTGCTTCACATGAGGCAGGATTGGCTAGTTTAAGTCATCCATTTATCTGCAAATGGTATCCAACATGTGCCTCTGAGCTCCTAGTCTTTTTTGCAATTTTGATCTACATGGGTCTATTGAAAGCAGCAAGTCCAAAGCTGTTCAGGTGGCGAATAAATGGTGTTCTCCCAGAGCTAATGATACGTATGAGTTATACAAGATTTCAACAGCTGAAGTGGTACTTCCACATCTCAGAGTCAAGCGAGTTGCCAATCCCATGCAAGGAGTGGTGGAAAAAGCTAGAACCGTTGAATAGTAGTATTCAAAACCGGGCTAAGGAATACTTTGTTCCTTCTACCAATATCGCTATTAATGAGATGATGATTTGGTTTATCGGACGATCAGCGTAGACAATTAAAATACCGAATAAGCCAATTGGTCTTGGCTAAAAAGTCCTTGTACTATGTGATACTGGCTATACCTATGATTGGGAGCTTACTTCTTGAGTAGAAGGCTTTACCACCTTAGTTCAGCAAAAGAAACCCTATCCGTTTTTACCTACTTCCTCTGCTGTTCTTCAAATGCTTGTTAAGCTGCCTTACCGGTCACACTTTCTTACAGTGTATATGGACAACTACTTCTTGAATATTCGTCTATTTGCACAGCTGCTAGACTATAGGATAGGGGCATGTGGGACTGTTTGGACTAGTTGTAAAGACTTCCCTAATATTTTAAATATTAGTAAGGATAAGGCAGTAGGTTCACTAGGATGGAACTTTGCAACTGGAGTGGTAGTTCGTAAAGTACAGGATTGTTAAGAATACCAGAACCCGATACCTAGGAACCACCCTAAGTAGGGTAACCCCACTTGGAATCGGAATCTCTGGTCTCCAACACCCCCCTCCGGCTCCCTTACGGAGCTCGCGTGTCATCACATATATCAATCTCAGTTGCGTCCTGTGACTACATTACCACAGAACTGAAGGTGTGAGAATAACACCGTATACCTCGCCGCCGACTGTCCGACCGGATCCTGTTCACAGGATATATGAGAGGGGATCTTCGGCTAGGCCTGGGAAGTGGAACGGAGTAATTCCGTCAACTACTCAGAGAGTTACTAGGCTTCAAAGGTATGAGACCTTTGGTATAGGCCATAAGTAACGGGACGATTTCGCATAATAAGATGGTATTAAATAGTAAAGGATCTCTACTAGAGACCGATACAATCGCATACACCAGAAGAGTCTAGAACTCCAAAAGACACTACCAAAGAAGCCAACGAACTTCACGGAGTGTTGCAACTGGGTTTCGGAACACGTTGGTAGTCATGAGGTGATTCTCAAATACTACGATGGTTACTGAAACCTACTACCGAGAAAGCAACCAAAGGTTGCTGACTGAGAGATTAATTACCACTCTAGTAGAGTAGCTTCCTGTGAGTGAATAGGAAGTTATCCAAAGAAAATCTATCGGTTGGGTATGGAGTTACAAAGGGTTGGAATCAAATGACCTACGATGGTTGTAATGAGGACCACCTTTGCAGATATAGCCATGGATAAGACTGATCATTTTATCAATGGTGAAGACAATTGGAGCCAACTCAGTTCAACTTAAGAACTAGGCTATAAGTCTAAAGACTCTGCTAATCGGGATATTACTATTGGGTACAGTATATTTCCTAAGAAGAAATATCGTAATTACCGAAGAGGGTGTGATGGTTTTCAGGGTCCACAGGTGTTCGCACCTTGGAAGAAAACTCGACGTTACGAATTACGATTGAAGAAGTACATAGTTGTATGATAAATAGATGTAGTCCGTGAACACTCAGACGCGGAATATAAATATTGAAGTACCTCCCAAGCTTTAGACATCATCAAGCAACAGAGAAGAGACCTTAACAATATAATACTGTTTTTATGATTCTACCTACTTTACTTTACTTCGCTACTAGTAGTCATAAATGAAACGAGCTGAGTCCGAGCCTTTCTAGACAATCTCCGTCTACAGAAACGAATCTCGATTGGCCTAGACAATTTTGAAGTCTATCAAGTTGTCTCAGCCTAACAGTATATTTGTAGATCTCCTTGTTACCAAGGCTCTCTAATCGGTTACCACTTGCATGGATTCGATTTACACTTTCAGTAAAGTCATTGATACTACGGTCGGCCTAGATACCCTTGAACAACTATTCTGAACCAATTCAATTTTCGAACCACCGACTAAGGTTCACTTGCCATCTATAGGTCAAGTGTTTTCTAGTCAATTTGAGCTTCCAGAAGTCCATTTCTGTTATAAGAAGCTCCTTTGTGGTAAACCGACCCCAACCTAGTTCCTATGGAGGAACAATTTCAAAGAATATAAGAAACCTGGTACGGACCAGAATTCAGTTGGAAATCCTTCCTTGACTGGGATACCAGTGAGGAAAGTTCTCTTAGCAGCAGATTCTCTGCTACTATACCTCGAGCATGGAGACTCGAAACTCATCCGAACTCCCATTAAGATCTATCCCCTCCTACCGCACGACGCGGCCAGGATACCAAGTGTCCCGCCGCATATTCTACTTAAATGGAAACCTCCCAGAACGCAGACTTCATAGCCCGCTTATAAGAAAAAGAAGCTCGCAAACGAGCAAGAGAGATGGCTCAACCTCCTAAGCAGATCCTTCCAGGAGAACCAATGGATACCTAGGGAGATAATCATTCTACAAGTTTCAGTCATTCTTCCTCTCTTCCTCCCACTCTTCGGAAACCTATTGGAGGACAAGAGGGCAGGGCTCACAGTGTCCCTCCGTCCTCAAGAGCCCCTTCTCCCGCTTCACGATCTACCACATCACGTCCAAATACCCATGCAGCAGACCTCGTAAGACTTGTCACTAGGGTAGGAATTGTCATAGGTCAAATCCGACAAGACATATCAACCAGTATTGATACTGCCAATATTGCCTTTGACACGCTATCAGCAGATTCTCAAGCCAATGCACAAGGACTGATAGCCCTTTAGCAACGATTATTGGAAGGACAAGATATACATGACAATGACATTGCTATTATGTTACGTCAGTGTACAATGGTAGAAGCGAATGTCTGAGAGATTCAAGAAAGGATCAATAGGGAGATTGCCGCCAAATTGGCCGCACAAGATACATAACAAGAGCATCATGAAGGGGTAACCACGCAACTGCAGTGAGAAGCTCTAGAACGAGACCTCACCCTGGAACGTGCTTTCCAAGAGTTCAGAGCACAACAGACCCAGCAAAATACCGCAATGAGAACCTTGATATCCAATTTGGCCGCAAGGTAAGAAAGGGACTCAGAACGGTATAGCGACTTTACCTGTACCATCCAGAAGGATCAAACTCACATATCTGATACCCTATCACTAGTTCTTAACAAGCTTAAGGCACTGGATAGTGGACAACCAGGTGGTAGGCACACTATGTTGGAATCAGTCCCAGAAGAATGGGAAGAAACTGCAGAACGGGGGGAACCTGAGGAAATCCCTCCTCGAGACAAAGGGAAACAGAGAAGGAGAACCTCCAACCTTTTTAATACCGGGTGGCGACCCAGATGATGGAAGTGATGATGGAGATGACCATGGAAATGGAGGAAAATGTGGAGGAGGACCATCCAGATTCAAATGGGGATTAACCCCTGAACAGCGTGGAACAGCTGATGTACTTGCAGAAGTATTGGCTCAAACAGTTAAACGACCGGCAGACCCGCCCCCATTTTTCGAAGCAAAGACCAGTCAATGCATTTACCATTGGTTAACCCAATGCATAGACTACTTCGAACGAAACCCAAGAATCTGGGATGATGATCGAGAACGCATCTTTTT